CGATGATCATCCGCTCGAAAGGCTTTCCAAAGTCAAGCAGAGGGAAGAGTGCCGTTGCACCAAGCTGCTGAATGCTGGGCTTGTCAATGGTGCCCGCTCGGAGGTAGAGGCGGAGGGCATCTGGGGCAAATCTCCAGTCCCTGATCATGGTCTTGAGCAAGCTGGTGAAGAACAGGGTATACATGGCACCCTTGATACGATCATGGTCCACCTCGTCCAGCGCCACCCGGAGCCTGTCGAGAAGGATGGGGATGACCAGGGGCCGGCCGCCGATGAGAGCTTTGAGCGACGAATCAAGGGCATTCTGGGCAACTCGACGGACATCGGCGTACGGGGACACTGACGACTGAGCCAGGTTTAGAAGAAGCTGCTTGTCCAACTCGCTCTTCTGCCGTGCCGAAGCGTTGTGTTTAACACGAAGCAGTTGATACGCGTCCGCACGTTTGATCAGGAGTGGTCGCGGGTAAACTTTGCGAAGGCCGCTAATCTTGAAAGCAGAGATGTCCGACTTGTAAAGGCGAAGATGTCTCTCCAGCGGGTGGGCGGACCGCTCAATGCCGACGTCGGTGATCCATGTCCTGTAGGCCGCGTAGAGCGCTGTGAAGCAGGACACGTCGTCTTCCTGATGTTGGTTAAGAAACTCGTGGCTTCGGCACAGGAGTTGTCCGACATCTTCCCTCAGCTCGTGCAGCTTGTGGTACGCAGGATCTTCGTCGGTCAAAAGGTAACCAGCGTCATAGCGGTATTGAGGACGCGTCTCCTCGTCTTCGGCGGCCTCCGCGAGGGGGTCATCCTCGTCCATCGCGATGTCGCCATCGCCGTCGACGCCAGTGTTCCCGTTCGGGCTCTGGCCGGAAGCACGATGGGGGTCGAATAACGTTGCCATTCCCGATATGACTAGCCTTATCTGTTGGAATAGTCTCGAGACCTCATCGGACCATTCCTTGTTCTTTCCTTTCCGACTCACGGGGGGGTTCTCGCTCATGAGCAAGTCCAGTTTCTGCGCCGCCGCCTTGGTCTGTGAATCGAAGAGTTCTACGGCGAACTGTACCTCTCCCGCGGATGGCCGATGCCACTTGATAGTCAAGTCAGCAGGAGACGTTGTCTTTCCCCAATCGGTGACGTCGAGTCCGCGCTTGATGACGTCGGGCTCGTACAATGCAGTGTCGATGGGGTATGTGTGCGTAAGGTTCAGCAGGAGGTGGTGGATGTAGTTAGAAATGTGGATGGTGGGTAAGCCACGGCACTTCTCCTGCATGTATTTGGCGATGTCATGAAGCTCGGTCTGGTATTTCAAGACTTCGTTGCCGACATGTACGACTGCCATGCCGAGCATGCTCACGTGCCACACAAGTGCGCGGTCCCTGGGCAGGTAGTCGGTACCGCTACTCCGGTCTGACGCGGCATGGTTGAAGTCAATCTCGTTGCGGATGTTGACAATCAGCATGGGGATAAAGACCTTGAGAGTCTTTTCGGGGTTGACCTTGCACAGGGCGTTGAGGATCCATGCCATCGCGTCTCTCGCCTGGTGCACGACGTGAGTGGACACGAAGGATGAGAGCTTCTCGAGGGCCGTGTCGAAGAGCTCTGGCGAGAGCGAAGCGAAGAGGGGAGACAGGGCTGCCGGCAGCGCATTGATGACGTTGTCCTCTGGTGTACCTCCCCTGATGTGGGACGCGTCCGGCAAGTTCTCCAAGAGGGTGAAGACCTTGCCAAGGAGAGCGATGACAAACTCGCCAAGTCCCGCTGTTGAAGATCTGAGAATGTTTGCCTCGTCCTCGTCCGAGAGTTCACTGTCGTAATCAAGCTTGATGTCTTGACCCTCACGCTCCATCCGTTCCATCTCGCCTTGCACCCACTCCATCGCCAAGGCGGTGCCGTGAACGGAGTCGCTGTCCTTGGTTAGAGGCACCATTGGGATGCTGTAGGCCACGCTCTGGATGAAATTGAGGGTGTACTGCGTCTTCCCCAGATCGTTGGCGTCGATACCAGGAAGAGCAAGGGCAAGAAGAGCGGTGATATGACAGCGGAACCCCTTGGTCTTGGACATGACGTTGGCAATCATCTGCAAGCCGTTCAGACTTGACGTGGTGCGGTGGACCTCGACGAGACCCTGCAAACTAGGGTAGAAGCGCTGCAGTGCCCCGGGCAAGATCAGGTTAGGTTCCAGGTAGGCTAGACCTTGGAGCGATGCGTAGTAGTAGTGAGCGACCCTGTTGCTCTTGGAGAACAGGCCCATGTAGGTAACCTCCTTGAGCGCAGACACAAAGCGGCGCTTGAGTGCAGGGGTGATCCTGCGGTCCTCTGGCGTGTCCAGCTCGCCGCTGTTCTCGCGGTTCCAGCGGGAGACAAAGATATCTGTGAGATAGACGGTGAACTGGCCAAGGAATGTCGTCCATGACCCGACATTGGAGGGGTGGTAGAAGGTGTCGATGGCCTCGAGTAGGCCCTCGAGGCTGGCTAAAATGGAGCTCTCTTGTTCCAAGCACTTGGGCGACAGTGAGTAGACGATCCACCTGGCGATCATGTAGGCCGTTGGATACTTCTTCTTATCCTTTTCAAGATATAGACCGAGGCCTGAAGAGTAGTCCAAAGTCGAATACGGCGAGTTGGACTGGCCAACCGGGATTTCCGTTAGGCGAAGGATAGCGGTGAATATCCAATCCGACTGCTCCCGCGTGAAGATGCCATGTGCGTCAAAGGGAGTGTTGGAAGCCTGGAGGAAGTCACGGGCCATACGGGAGTAAAGATCAATGAAGAAGACGTCAAAGCTCTTGGATCTCGCGATGAGGGACCAGAGGTGGAACAGCGTCGGCATGAAGTCTTGAGGCTGGGAGCACGGCACGGACGCGGGGGCGACATCGGTGGGAAGCAGAGCATTGATGGCTCCAACAACAATGTAGGCATTGGAGACATCGGATGTGCTAAAGTAGGGGAGGAATTCATCGAGCATCTCCTTGCGGTCTTTGGGGTCGAAGTAGGTCTGGGCGTGGAGACACAGCTTCCACAGCTGCTTCTGAGAGCGGCGACGGTTTGCCTGGTGTGAAGCGACCTCTGACGGCAGGACCAGGGCCTTGATCTCTCTCCATAACGGACGCCAATCGAGAAGTAGGTCGTCGACGGGTTTCAGGTAGTGGTATTTCCTGCGAGAATGGCACGGTTAGCGGATGGCGGTTCGGCGAGACAGGACAGAACAAGAGATTGGGTGGGCAGGGCGCACCTCGTCAGGATGACCACCATGCGCAGGAAGCGGTCGGCAGTGCTCGGCTCGAGGCCAGGAGCGAGACAGAGATGGTAATAGAGCTTGGCCAGGGTAGCGCGAAGCTCGCGCGTCATCTCGAACTTGAGGTTCAGCCATCCCGTCAGCTCCCTGGTCCAGTGCAGGGCGCCGGGGCTGAAATCTTCGGCCTTGATGGCGATGTAGAGCTGCTTCAAGATGCCGGCCAGGGCAGCATCGCGCTGGGACTCCTCTTCGACGGGGAAGGGTAGGTGGTTGAAGTAGCTGAAGGTGCGCGGACGGTACCGCTTCTTGTCATCTTCGTCGGTTTTTGTATAGGGGGGACCGGGGGAGTTGGATCTAGAGATTGTATCGACGGAGACGAAATGGCTCGATAAGAAGTGAGCGGTGGAGGCGGCGGCCAGGGCGGCGGCGTGGTTGGAGGGCTCAGGCCCCGGTGTCTCGTCCATGGTTGCAATGGCTGCGATGGCGTCCGGCGGAGACGACGCGAAACGACACGACACGACACGGAGACGGAGACGGAGACGAGGGGTTGAGTGATGGTCGGAAGTTTGCGACTATTCGCTGGACTGAGCGACCGAGCGGAGGAGAAGCAGGCAACGGTCGGGGTGGTCGCACAGGGTGCAGCAGGATTCAAGCTCCCGCTCCCACACGACAGCCGAGACGCAATGCAGGCAGCTCGGGGCGTCGGGTGCGGGTGGTGTCGTCGGTCGCGGGGCGTGCGTTGATCCGGGAACGGGGAGAGAGACTCTGGGCGCGTGCACGAGATGGAGGATGGATCGATTGGGGTCGATGGACGGAGGGGACGACAGAGAGGAGGTCGAGAAGGACGAGAGAGGTCTCGCGGATCGAGGATGGGCCTGTCTTTTTTTCCCTCTCGTTGATATCGGTAAAGGTGGTCGGATTGAATGCCTGTCTATCAATGGTGGTCAATTGAGTATGTACCCGAGACTCGAAGCTGAGTAATGAATTTGGTGATGACGTCCTAGTCTCTTGTGCTTCTCCGCAGGACCCGCGCTGGGTATCTTGGCCACGAGACAAGAAAAGCAAAAGGGCAAAGAAGCGGCAGGATATGTCTCGAAAGAGGAGAAAAGAGACAAAAGGGAAGCTGGGGGTGTTGAATGGCAGCTCAGTTGTTTTTCAAGTCGGGGGTAGCAGAAGGAAAGATGGGAAAATAAAAGGTATACGACGCATGCATGCACGGCTGGTGCTGATGCTGATGCTGATGCTGATGTAGGGGAGGTACCCAAGGCAGGTGGGTAGAGAAGGGTTCTCAAGGAGGGAAGGTAAATAAGGCAGGTAGGAGCGGGAGAGGCAACAGGATAGAGGACGTGGACGACTTACTCGCCGAGAGTTTGTGTGCCTGCCTTGCCTTGTGACCGGACGCAGCGCAGGGCAGTACGAAGAGGGATGTTGGGAGGTGTTGGTGCCGCCGCAGTTGAGCGGACTTTCCAGGTGGTTTGATGATGCAGAGCAGCAGCCTGGGCTGGGCTGGGCTGGACTGGGCTAGGGGCACACGCTCGTCTTTGATGGGGGAAGGCGGGGGAGAGCTCGAGATGAAGTGTGCCTAGGTGGGGATGAATGAATGAATGAATACTACATGTAATGAATGTATCCTTAGGGCAAACGAGCAGCGTGCGGGTACATCAGAGCCGCATACGCACCCGTGGCAGCCTTGCACGGGCAGGTTCCAACTTGGATTACGTCTTCTAGTGTCTACCTGTGCCTACCCTGCCAATGCAATGAGTGACTGATGGCAGCTGCGTCCCAGCGCTATTTCCTGCGTTGTTGCTTGCCCGTTTCGTTTCTTAGCCGTCCCTCGTCTGAGCGGACGGGAGGAAGGACCCCTCTCCCTTCCTTCTTACCTCCGCGTCCGCCCTCTTCGGACAGTCTAATCTATACCTTAGGCCTTAGTACCTACCTACTTTCATGCAGGTACTCCGTATTCTTTGGTATCTACTCGCGTGCACCACCTTTGCCTGTCATTTATCATCACGACACCATGCATCATTACGGCCTCGCGGTTTATACCACCAATGCCACCGCAACACCAACAGCAAGTATTCAACCCCATATCTCGCGGATCCCATGCGCATCGTTCAAGGAGAAACACACCCATCGTCGCTGACTGCTCGTATTCATCCCTTGCCGTGCCACCTTCTCGCCTGTCACCAACCAACGATAAGCGCTACTAATCATGCACCATGCAATCAAAGTCCAACCAACACCAACCACATGCTCCAATATGTCTGTCGGCTATCTGCATCACCGACCATGTCCAGCACATTTTCGCCGCCAAGCAATTTCGATCGAGTCGCATCTACGAATACGACCAACAACAGTCTCGGGGACTCTCGAGCTTGCTTCCAAGTCGCCTCCTGCCCATCTGCTGATTAATCATACAACCACATGCCGACATCTGCTCATAGGTGGGGGGGGAACCGGCCGAGCGTTCCCGGTCCGACCTGACTCTCCCCGTCTGCAGCCCGCCCGCAGGACATGAACTAATACCTACACTAACCTGGTGTGGGTAGTTTAGGTTGGACATGGACATCCATGGCTATCACGGACACCCAACTGGTCAATGCTTGTCGCCTGGGTGGTCTCGTCTTGTTTCCCCTTTAGCTCGCCGAAGGCGGCACTCGGAGGACGCAATCATCCTCTCTCCTCCGTCTTGCGCGTTCCATGCATACTCCATTCCAGAACACAATCAGAAGCAGCCGGAATCTGGTCTCCGGAAGGTTTTCCATGTATCCGTCAAGCCGCCTCGATCCAAGGGTCCCACGTGTCCCGTATTTGTACGCCCGGTACATTATCGTGCCATGCCAAATCGCGTCGTGATCAGTACCGGATTTTCCAGATTTTAAACATATAACCGCCTTTGAGTCTTGCCTTAATACCACTGTACCCCTGCCCGGGCGACCCACGCGGCGCGCACCCAAGCTGAGTTACCAGACGCTGCACGACGCAAGACCTAACATGATTCCAGTGCTTAGATGTTATGTATGCATGGTGCAACATCAAAGAGCCCGACATGGCTAAGATGATGAGTATTAATCTACGACCAGCGAGTTCAGCCAGCCCCGACAATCTCTGCGACACGTTCTCAGCCTTATGCGTTTGAGACGCAAACCTACTCCTCAGCCAGAATGATCTCGGTAAAAGCAATAATCGCCTACCCAACAACACGGTAATCCAGACGCACTAGGCTGGCCCAATGCAACGGAGCCCTACCGCCAGTGGCCTGCCGCCTCCGTGTCGGCCCGTCTCAATTCGGCTCTGCTGCCCCCATTGCGGGTTTCCAGACCGCCGTACCTCCAATCCCCTTCGGCAATCGACATGTAGATTGCAAATGAACCGTGGCCCGAAAATACACCAAGTCATACGACACTCTCCCTCTCCAAATTCTCACCATTAGGCTCATGAGGTTTGTGGTGCCACCAGCTGGTTGTGCTGACTCACGCACGCTGCTGCAGGCCTCTCTCTATCCGTACCATGGTCAACTCATTCAATTTATTCCAGGATCCCCGGACCCCGGCAGTGACGTTGAACGCCTCAATTTTGGAGTCTCGAGGAAGGATAGAGATCCATCTGGAAACCAACGACAGAGTATCACTTCTCGTCCGCCCGCTCAGAGGGGACTTGAACAACTTCAATCTGTTCAATATTGAATCAGTCATCATGACTACCGTAGACGAAGAAGCAAGCAAGTAACACCAGAAATTGTCCTCTTGTGTCCGCCAATTTGCTCACACCCTTCTCAAGACATTTCCAAGGCCTCTACCACTTCGAGGACCGAGGGCCAAATCTTGGATGAACCATCATCCCCAACGGGCCTTGTGGCCGCCTTGACTCGCACAAGGACCCGGACCAACACCATCCTCGAAAAGGTCTCAGTTCGCGATCGCATCCGGCACTTTACCTTTGCATGGTACACTCTCACGTGAGTCCTAGCCCCCCCCCCCCTACTTTCCGGTCCCGCGCGCCGGGCCGCCGTCTGCTCCACCCCACCTTTGACCCGGCCCTCCGACTAACATTCCCTACCTTAATCAGTATGTCGACAGGCGGCATCGCCCTTCTCCTCGGCGCGACCCCCCACCGCTTCCGCGGGCTTGACACGATCGGCATTGTCGTATTTGTTCTCGATGTCGTCCTCATTTTCCTCATCACCGCTGCGCTGTGCCTCCGCTTCTCCATGTTCCGCAAGACCCCGGCGATGGTCATCACTAACCCCTCCGAGTTTCTCTTTATCCCGACCTTCTTCCTCTCCATTGCTGCCGCGCTATCAAACATACAGCACTACGCCGTTCCAAAATGCGGTCCCTGGCTCATTGTTACCCTGAGGGTGTGCTTTTGGCTGTACCTCGTGCTCACTTTCCTCCTTTCCGTCGGCATGTACCACCTCCTTTTCAACGGCCGCAGAAGGCTTTCGCTCGATAACATGACGCCGGCGTGGATTCTTCCCATTTTCCCCGTCATGTTGTCCGGTACTCTCGCTGCCTTCATCGCCACTACACAGCCGCCGAACCAAGCCGTCGCCATGATGGGCGCGGGTCTCGCCGCTCAGGGGTTGGGGTTCTTCATCTCGGCCTTCATGTACGCCATCTACCTCTCGCGGCTGATGACAATTGGCCTTCCAATCCAGCGGCCCGGCATGTTCATCGCCGTCGGCCCACCAAGCTTCACAGCCGCAACGCTGGTAGCGATGGGCGCTCAAGTACCCCGTCTCGTTGCCGCGGCCGACTCCTTCATCCCCGAGTCCCTCCGCTCAAAGGCTTACCTCACCGATATGGAGAACCCTGTTACGGTAGCCTTGGCCGTCCGTGCCGCGGCCCTCTTCGCCGCCATATTTCTCTGGGGTCTGTCGTTCTGGTTCTTCTCCTCGGCCTTTTTGGCTACCATGATCGGCATGCCAGACCCTTCCTTTCATCTCAGCTGGTGGAGCTTTGTCTTCCCCAACGTCGGTTTCGCCATCGCAACGATCCGGATCGGCGAGGCCCTCGGCAGCGAGGGGCTGCTGTGGTTTGCCGACGTGAGTACCATCATCTTGGTCGCCGTCTGGCTCGTCATCGGCTTCTGTTGTATGCGCGCTGTCCTCAGGAAGAAGCTCGTGTGGCCTGGGCGAGACGAGGACAGCCACTGAGGTGTGGCGTTTCTGTTCATCCAGCAGGCCCTTCGGTTCCCGAGTTCACGAGAAATGTTATGACACACATGGGTGTCAGGAAAGTATGGGGCTCAGATGTGTCTTCCTGGTTTTTATTCTAGACTCGATACCCCCCTATCTGGATCCAGACCTGATTCAATCAATGTATGCATGATGAGATAGAGGCTTGGAATGTTTACACTGGTTCTTCTTGGCAGCATCAAAGTAGTGTTTGTGAATTACGCCTTACTTCACCTTGACAGAACAATGCGGCCCAATAGTTTACTGAAAGGAACCGTGACTGCTCATAACAAGGACGAGTGGCTCTTGCCCCAATTCCTGGTGAGCGCTTGACAATGGCTGGTGACCCAGGGCCCGGCTGAACAAGGGCCAGCTGAGCACGCTTTCTCACACAAGAAGATATCCATTCTCCTTCCTTTGGGGAAAAAAAAAAGAAGAATTGTTGATCCCCTCAACTTCACCAAAACCAAACGCCAAGCAAAACAAACAATGGCCTCCGACATGAGCCTCGAGAGAGATATGTCCTGGGAGTCGGATAGCCCCGACGAGGAGTTCAACGGCAACGCCTCGGACCTTGGATGGTTCATCAAGGACTGTGTCTTGGCCCACAAGAAGTGGCTCCAGGACCAGTCGTTCATCTGGAACGGCACCTTGCGCTTTGGCCCCCCCGGCCCCGTAAGTACCATGGTATCCTCACAGCCGTCGTGGCTTTGACGACAAGACTGACCGCGGGGGACAGGAGGCCAACATAGACTCTGACACCGGCTCCCGCGAGGCCCAGCACGGCCACATGGAGCTGGAGTATCCCGGCCCCATGGCCGACGCCCGCGGCGTGTCCATCACCGGCTACACCCGGACCTACCTGAACGGCGCCGAGTACGGCGTCATCAACACGGCGTTCAACGCCCTCGACCAGGAGCACGCGTTCACCGTCTACTTCGTCATCGGCCCGCGCGACCCCGAGGACGCGGCCACCCGCGTCTTCGACGTCGACGGCGTCCGCCTCTACCTCCAGCGGACCGGCTTCTTCGACGCGCAGCGCCGCGACCAGGAGCTCGCCCACATGCGCCGGCGCCACGCGCGCTTCTTCCAGAACCAGCGCCCCATCTTCCTGGTCAACGACCCCAAGGCCGCGGGCCACGACCGCGTCCTGACGGTCAAGTTCGTCGTCGGCGCGGCCCACCGGCACATCACCGTCGCCGACCTCCGCATGTGGTTCTGCGTCACCGGCTTCTTCGACCAGCGCACCCGCGACCGCGAGATCGCTGCCGAGCTGGAGTCCGTCGGAGCGCGGCACGCGCTGCGCGGGCACGCCGACGTCCAGGAGTACCTCGCGGGCCTCGACCCCGGTAACGCGTTCCGTTGAGAGCTGCTTTGGCCGGCCGGTATCTGCCGTGTTGTATGCCATGCCTTACTCCACCTTGGCCAGACACCATTGCTGACTATTGTTAAAAGCCTCTCTTACTTCTATCTACAAATGACGAAGAAAATCGATGGGCGTCATGCAGGAACGAACTGGGCCTGGAATCAGAAGGAATGGCCACGCCTTGGCGACACCCGTCTGGTACAATGCTTTCGTTAGTAGGAAAATAAGCGGCCGTCAGCAATGGGATGGATGTTGGCCAGACACAGTCTCTGGTAAATGGTGGCCTCTCATTGAACAGTTTCAGTCTCTTCGTGACATGGTTCTTGATATGCCGGTCCTTACCCGCCGCTACTTCACGTGGGATGAGACGGGGGCAGAGTCATCTGCGGCTTCGTGTATTGCCGTAATGAAGCGGAGTTGAGATCATCATGCTTATGGCGTGCCTTTAAGCTTCTCGTTCTTTGACTACATGTTTTCTTCTGAGCAAACCCGTCCATGGACTAACAGAAACCACTTTGCGCCGTTCGCCGTGGCCAGAATGCGATCAGGTCACTGGTCCGTGTTCAACTGGTTACGTATCACGTCGTTGTTGCTCCAATGCACTCGATGGACCTGCTTGCCCGCTCGAAGAACTATCAACGTCCAGGCTGACATGGCGAACGTTAGGCTGCATCATGGTGACGACGTCAGTCATGACCTCATCGTGATGGAGTCATGTCCTATGCAGCTTTGACCGACTATCCCTAGGCCGTGCATTTAACTGACCCAACCCGACGGAGAACTTCTGAGAGGCTTCTATGCGTCGCCCGGCATACAGGCTTCAGTCATACTAGACTCTGAGATACCTCGGGAGCCCGGTTCCGTGGCAAAACGATGTCATGCGCGAGACATATGGCTTAGTAAGTCGACCTCAGTGCTCCTGAAATCGTCTCTCATGCCGAGATCAGAGTGCTTTGCGCACACCTCATGCGCAAGGCTTTGAGTTTTTGAGGGTTGACTACCCATCATGCACATGGCCCAGAAAAGCAGAAAGGGGTTCATGGGCTTTCAAGGCTACCCGTGCGGACCGAACGACGCCGGTTGTCATCCCACGTGGCACGGGGTCTTGTTGCTTTCGGGAGGCTCTCATTATGGGACTGAAGGGCCGGGAAAAAAAAAAAACTCTACATGATAGGACGGACTGTGTACCGGCTCTCGGGTATCTCAAGCTGGCGGAAGAAACGACGCGAACAACACGCCCTGGATCGCAGCGTACATGACGAAAAAAGTAACGATCCTGCCGCCCAATCCCTGCCGCTTGCCGTCGGCGCCGTTATCCAGCAGGCAGCTGGCAGTCCACCAGTACCACACCGCGTACCCAGACGCAATCCTGGTGATAATTTGCACATGGTACGTCGTGATTGCCAAAACAGCGAGCAGGACCTGGGCCGCTGCCATGGAAATTACCAGAGCCGACCTCGTGCCATCCCGCTGCGGGACCGGCTTGTCGGCCATCGGAGTCCGCGTCAACCCCGACATTCCGGTCATGACTTCGCACCCGGAAATGACGAGCAAACCTAGCACTGGCGCGGCGAGAATGAACAGAGGAACGTTCGATAGCGTCCAATAGCGGAATAAGCCAACGCCCCTGCGTCGTGCAGAACGTTAGCGAGTCGAACAGTACCCCAGAAGAAAAATTTTACTACCAGCACCACCGGCCCAAAGTCCACCTCAAATCCCCACAAGTGCCGCCCGACCACCCGACGGTGTACGGGCAGGTACCGGAGCAGTTGTGATAAGACAAAAAAAGCAACAAAACCCTGTGTGTACTTACCAGTAATGTTCCTGTACAAACGTGTAGATGCTGGGCACGGTCCGCGCGCACCATGGGCGCGCCTCGGATACGCCGGAACAGTATCGCAACCATGCCAGCGCCTGTGGAATGACGGATCCGGTCGCCACGAGGAGCCCGCCGACTACGAGACCAAAGAGAGTCGCAAGGTTCGTCAGGCCCGTAGGGCTGGTGAGAAGCGAGGGCAGAAACATCAGGCATTCGGCAACGAAAGGGAGACCGTTCAAGAGGCCGTTGGAGCGAGAGGCGGTCGCAAGGCCGAATATGGCGCCGGCGAGGACCTGGCCGGCGGTCCAGCGGAGAGAGCCTTTGGGCTCGTCCGAAACGCAGGAGAGAACGTAGTAGCCGGCGAAGGAGAAGAAGGCGCAGAGGCTCTCGGCGTAGGGCGCGGAGAGGAAGAGTCCGGCCGGGGACAGGACGTGAAGAAGAGCCGACAGGAACGCCAGTCGTGGGCGTGAGAAAAGCTTGAGCGTCAGCTCATAGAGCATGAGTACCGCAAAGAGATGGGCGACGTGAGCAACGACGATGGCGAGAGCGGCTTCCAGGGCGCCAGTGCCGTCGTCATGGATGCCGAGCAGCCGCGCGGACTTGACCAGGCCCGACACGATGACGGGCAGGCCCGCGTTGAAGGCCCATTCCTGCTCGAAGACGTAGCCTCGCCTGGCGGACTGGGTGTAGTACAGTGCGTCCCAGCGGGTCAGACGGGTGACGATGGAGAGGTCGGACTCGTTGCGCCGGAGCATCAGCGTTGTCGAGGTATCATAAGATGGCGCCACGGCGCTGCCCAGAGCGATGGCCAGCAAGAAGGCCTTCCAGGCCGCGAAGGACGCGATCAGGGTTTGCCGGGGTCGAGATTCATGACGGTATAGCATGACTGGATGGCTGGATGACGTCGGACGAGGATGCCTGCCGAAAGGTTGATGAGCGGGATATGCCGCGGACCCGGGCGGTTCATGGGATGCCGTGTGGGATTGCCAAGCGGTCGGGGAGCGCGAGGCCAGAATTGGATCTAGTCTCAATGTGAGGAGGAGGAAAAAATGTGAATGCCGTACCCGATTATGTCGGGTGGATTGGGGAGGGGTCCTCGAGATTCCCGCGGATTGCGTTGTTGCGAGGCTATCGGAGCCTCGGAGGAACGATCGTCGTTGAGCGCACGCGGTGCCACTTGGCCAATTGGGCGTCGTCGGTGAGTTAGGTAAGTGCGGTGGGCTCGGTGAGTCGGTTCCTTCCGGGTGATGTGCCTGAGGTGGTGCACGAGCCAATTTCAGAGGAAGGAACCTGGATACCCTTGCTCTGTTTGCAATTCCTTTGTTCTTTCTTTTTTCTTCCCCCTTAGTATGTATGATCTTCCGCCCAGCCGGAGTCCGGGACCGCAGACTTGCAGGCAGGGCAGGCTCCCAGGATTGTGATTACCGGAAATCATCGACGAGTGGATGAGCCCCTCAATACCAGCCCCTTTTGCCCCCTTTTCCGAAGAATTCTTCTCGAAGCGCCATGCTCTCTCTCTCTCTCTCTCTCTCTCTCTTTGGATCCATGCCATGATGAATCGAGCCGATCCAGCCCAGCGGGAGAGGTCTCTTGGTCTGCCACTGGAGGAGAGTGAGTGTGGCGAGGTCCTGGGCAGTCCCACTGAACAGGGCTCGCTTGCTCGCTCAGTCCAGCATTCTTACTCCTTCAGGATTGGGAAAAGGGGCTCCTACAAGAGCGAGCTTCATCCCCTTAGTTGACCGCCTTCGTGCTTCTCCTAACCCCTGAGATCAGCACATGAAGTGCATTCTTTAGAGGTGGCGGGGTTAGACGCGGACCATCATGTGTGCTCACTTCTCGCGCGAGCGAGAGAGGGAGGGAGAGAGAAATGTCGCGCGTAGGGCGCATGCGCGTATCCATATCCATAGGGGCCACGCCACAGAAGCAAGGGATGTTGAGGCAGCCGGACACAGGACACGCCAAAGCGACTCGATGCATCAGCTTATTCCAGATGCGTTTGCAGCTGCAGACCGCCATGTTGTGCGAATTACCCAATGCAACCACCACCCGCAATCCATCGGGTAGAGAAACGACAGGGCCGACGTCTGCCGGGAAGCAGCCAACAGAAGACTCGATGGCGGTGGCTCACCTGCGTCCCTAGCCCCAGAGGCAAGCAAGCAAGCAAGCCACTTGCCGGTCTTGTATTCAATCAGTGAGGCAACTCCCGGACGATCCGCGCAGCGAGAGGGGCGGGAGGAGATGCATGTGAGTGGAGGAGAGGGTTGGCGGCTGATCTGGATTTCCCCGACTCTACTAAAATTGTATGTACGGATAGATCAGCCGGGCTTGCCCGCCCCGGTCTGTCTGTCTGTGATGGATCCCAACGCGAGGTATTGGCATGTGCAAATGCAAGCCTACATACGGATACAGGAGGTGAGAAAGAGAAGAAGCAGTAGCAGAAGCAGAGAACCGTTAGACTCATTAGCATCGCAAATCACATGCGCCGCGGGAGAGGGCGAGGTTCGGATGAGACATTGCATGAGTGAGGGGGGAGCGGATGTTTGCTAGTTTGCTACGGTACTGACTGAATGAGTTGTAGTTGGAATAGGTACTTTACTTACTACCTAGGTAGGTATGCAATCGATTCCGTCCTACTTAGTGCCTGCCCGACGATGGGAATCAGCTCCGGAGGGGTAAGCACGACGTCGCCGCCGTCCCCAAGAACCTAGGTAGGTAGGTAAATAGGTAGGTAGGTAGGTGGTAGTTTACCTACTGAGTAGTACATCGTACATTACCTACAAGCCACACGTGCCTGTAATGTTATCTATCCACGGCTGCACCGAGTTGTGGAGGCTCCTGCCTTTGTTCCCCACGTCCCCACTCAGTTTGTATGCTTATTGAGGCTTCACTGTGTGACTGTCAAGGAAGCAAGGGCCCTCCTGCCCTCTTCCGAAGTCTGGGGCATCTGCATCCATCTGCAGCTGCATCTGCGTCTGCATCTGCGTCGACATCGACATTTGACATCTGCACCATTGCCTTATGTAAGGCACACCATATCGGGCAGGTCGTCCTGCCCCCAACATCTTTCCTCAGTCTTCTTATTCCGTACTTGTATTCGTAACCTTAAGGAACAGCAGGCATGGATGGATACTACTACTACGTACCTACTTACCAGCCAGTTTGTTCTTCTTTGTTTCATGCAGGAGCCCCCACCGTCTGACCTCCTGGATATTCTTCTGGCTGAGACGCGGCCCAGTCTCCGTTTGAGCTTCATGCTCAGAAAGAACCTGCCGGCGGTCAGGTCGTCACCAGACTTGGCAATCGACGTCCGTTCGGCGTAGCCGCCGGCTTGGCTGCTGCACGCATCCGCCTTTCCTTCTTCGTTCTCTACTGCCTACCGACCTACCTACCTGTTGTCTTCTGTTTTGTTGATACATACCCCTTTCCGGCTTTTGTTGTCGTCTGCAGACTCGGATCTGCGAGCCAACTGAAAAGACCAAGAATGCATAGCTGCTGCCTCATGCTGGTAGTGTGTGGGATGAATATCCATCCGTCTCATTGGGTCCCTTGCGATTGGACCCCTCGCGCTGTCAACTGACTTCTTTGGTAGCGTATGTGAGATCGTGGCGTGACGGCTGCTTATACCTCCAACTGCTGCCGTTTGCGAGACCCAACTGCTGGCGATCAATGCGGCCACGGCGCCCCAAGTAAGGACGGGAAATAAGCAGGCCAGGCTGACTGACCATTGTCCGTCGTCAACACGCACGCCCATTACCACCCCTCGAGGCTTAGGCTATCATCCTTGTCAGCATGGGTGGCGCCTCTGACTTGCCCGAACCGTTATCGTTTGAGCTCAGTCACTCTCCTTGCGCTGATGTCGACAATGGGCGAGATAGGACACGCGCACCTTAGGTACATCTCACCGCCGTTGCACACCCGACACTGTCTCGCATCGACGTCTTGCCATTCGCCCTGTCGCATCGCACCGTATTGCACCACACACACACACACCACTGCCAAACGGAACCAATCACAACGTTGGAGTCATCCTGCCAGTCACTTCGGATCTCAGACACCGGAGAATGGACATGGCCAGACGCGCTTCTCGAGTTGCGATGCGGAACACATTCTCCCTGATCCATCTTCGTGTAGCCTGGTCAATTGGGCAATAGTGGATTGACTCTGGACTCGGGTGAGGAGGAAGAGCCCTGGGGTGTCCAAACATTGAATAACTTGGAGACTGCGTCCGGAGGTCGACAGACCCATCGCCCGGGGACACTAACACCACCTCCCGCCCACAACGTCACGGCGTAAGTGCAGGCACAGCGTGTCTAGACTGGATGCACCGAACACGGTCCCTGCCAGCCGACAAAGACCCGATTGGGCATCGCGAACGATTCCTGAATTTGGATTCCTCGTCCGATCAAATCAGACATGGAGCGCCCATTGTTGTTGGGGATGGCGCGAAACAAGCGCTCGAAACGAAACAATTAGGCTTCCACATGTCACCGAACCGACTGGTCTGGTCTGGTCTGGTCTGCTTCCGAGCAACAGCAGCAGGCCCGGCTGCGACGTGTTCCGGCCTAGGCAGCCCTGGCGTCTTTTCCCAGTTTACCAACCGTCTACTGCGAGTCTGCCTAAGGTGCAGACGGCTATCACTGGACGACGGTCTGATCTAACACTGCTCGTCGGCTCGAGACGTCTCACGCGGAGGTTGCGATGGGAGAAGACCAAGCTTCCGGCTATGGTGGCGCCCGTCTCCTGCGACACCTCGCCTCACCTCTTTACCACCAATGCATCCGCCACTATCAGCAGAGACGTGTTGGCGACGCTACCTTTGCCATCGCATAGCTGCATCTCACCAGACTCACTCCAGTGAGCCCTCGACAAGCCAATGAGGCAGCGTCGCTAGCAAACAATAACACGGCGTGAAGTTGGGCGCGGGCTTGAGCATTTTGATGCATCACAACAAGCACTGGCCAGCGCTCGACGCCAGCACTGTGTGGTAGAGCAAAAAGTGGTGGGTGCTTTGAAGGATCGCACAGTTGTGCGGCTTGCGTGTCTTGGGACGTCCAACCCAACTGGCACACCCTTTTTGGGAAGGGGGACGAACCCTCATGCTTCCCTGCCGAGAAGGCTTGCAAGGGATTCCCAAGCTGGCTGGCTATCCAGTCCGAGTACGGTACCTGCCGCCAAACACCGTACAGGGCTGATTAACTTCACAGCTTGTGGGGGGCTCCGGTGGTCCGGATCGCCTCGCCGGTCTGAGCATCTCACTGACATCAGCAAGCGAGTGGACCATGGCTCTACCGGTAATCTTATGGCGCGTGTCAGACCTTGAAGTGTCTGTGACCTTAAGAAGTGAATGTAATGGATTTGCTTGGAGAGAGACTTTATTGATTGCTACCGTAGGCACACATCCCTGCTACCGGGCTGGACGTTCATCATAATGGCAGCATCGTAAGGCATGATCCTGGTTTTGAATAGTCACTAGCACACATTCCGTTTTGGCTGGACTCGGGTTGCCGTCTACCGTGTCGGATGGGTTAGGGGAAAAACGCGCGGCCGGTATGCAACCAGCTGGATTTAGCAGCGAGCCCATGGTCATTCCCAGCTCGCGCAATGAGCGACAAGTCGAGTGTCGAACTCGGTTTCCAGCGACCCTCGTCTCGGCAGCCGTGTTTTATCGGGGCAACAGAAATAAGATGATTGCGAGAGGCGGCGAGAGAGCTGAGGCTCAGGCAGGCCACCACCATGCTGTGAGTTCATGGACATAGTAGCGAGCTGTGAGCGCCATCAATGGTGGCACGCACATCTAAACTACCGGTAGTATGACGCAAACTCCCCACACAGCACGCCCGCCCGACATTGCCGGCAAGCGACGCTGCTGCAGCAGGATCCCTGTCTGCTGCACAGCGGGACTTTCCCAGCACAACACAGCACAGCGTAGGGCAGCACGATTTCCTTTCCCTCATCGCAGGGACAGGACAGGATAGGCCAAACGCGGACGCACAGACGCCCAGACGGTGCTGTCACATGAGGATGAGGCGTGGTCTGGAGCCTTGATCTGATATTGCCCCTCACGCAAGAAGGGTGACGAAGGCTGTGAGGAAGCTGTGGAACACAATCCACTTCAAGGTTCAGCAAGGTCGGCGCAGGGCTTGGGCGACGAGGGCCCTTCTCGGCCCCATCAAATCTGAGATGCCTCGCAGTTCGCCGACGCAGAGACGAAGCGGAGGCTTGCAGCGATCGGTACCTTGTCGCAACTTTCCAGGCTTTGCATTTCTCAAAGTTTGTGAGTCGGCAGCGGTAGTGGCATGTGGATTAGGGAGGCTTTTCAGTAGTGCATAGGCTACTGCCGTTGTCACCCATATAATGTACTTGTCATAATATGGTTTAAGGCATTACATAAAGTTCCGGGCCAAGACCGTCGGGCCCAAACGAAGAAGCACAGCAAAAAAGCCGGACTGCTCGCCCATTCCGCAAGATTAAACGGCCGGGCTTGACGAAGGACTGGGTGAAGCCGACTACTGCGTGTGAGAAGGCAGCTAGCTAACAACAAACGAAACAAAAAGCGCATTAGTTTAGATAAGAGGGAGAAGCAGGCCCACGGGGGGGTTCGCGCTAGGACGGACGGCGTGAGTCTGGCCACCTCAGTCGGGCTGCTCAGAACTGCCCACGTAGTGTTAGTAGTAGTAGTAGTACATCTTTGTGCATGGGGTGGTGCAAGTAGTTTGTCGTGACATGTCGAAGCACGATGTGTTTGTTGGCGGGCTGGAAGAAAACGGTGAGGGAGATGGATGCGACGGAAAGTGAAAAGGAGAATAAGAGCGAGCGAGCTCCGGAGTCGCCAAAGCCATGCCGTGATTTCATCCCACAATCCCACATGATCATCATCATCATCATCACCCCATCCATACCCATCAACGAGAACGAGTCCACCACTTTCTTTGATGAGGCTCGTCACGAGTCGACACGTTTCTCGGTTTCTCCTCGGCATACGCAGCGAGCGAACATCTTGTTGGACATCTGAAGGATTGTGGCACACTGGGGGGGCTCCGGAATCCACAATCCATCCATATCGACGGAGCCGGAGTCAGCGTGCGTGGCAATCCTAGGTAAGCTTCCACGATTGATGTTCCCCTGTCGACTTCAAGCCTCGAAGGGTACGTACTCCTCTTCGCTGCTGCGGACTTGAATGAGTTACATACCGGTACGTAGGTAAGCTACTATGTAATTAAAGCCCTTATTTGGGGCGAGGTCCTTCATCAATTAATTGCCGTGCACGTTCGCTCGCTGACCGCAAACACAGCCTAAACTGGAGCAGCAAGCAGCTCATTTTACATTCTACCTGCTGTCACGGATACAGTCAAGGCACATTACATTGGACATACCCTCATCTCATACACCTACACGCGTATACACTACGGATATACAAACCTACCTGATATCATCTTTGTGTGGGTGCAGGTGCCGCACAGTCCAGTCGGACACATTCCACCGCCTCGCAAGGGGCTTCCGAAGCGAGTAGTCACGACCGCACCGCTCTTTCATTTCCTCGTGCTCCTCCTCTCCTCCTGCCTCTGGAGGGGGCGGCCATCATCGCCGTCACCAAAAAGGAGGACAAGCCAGCCAAGGTACGTACTGGATACCTTGCTCCGCAGTCATTTCCCCGCCAAATAAGACGTACACTACCTCTTCCCTCCACCCTCACTCTCTTCCTCTCTCCCTCTCCCTCTCCCTCTTCGTCGTTTGCCCAACCTCACTCTCTCCCTCTGGATCTCACTCACTTTTTCAACCTCATCTTCCATTCTCTTCTTATTTGCCGGCAGACTGGTTCGCCTTGTTTTCTGCTCTAGAGCTAGCTCTCTTGTTTTCACCACATCTCCTTCCCTGCTTCTTTCCGTTCTTTCCGCCGTCTAGTGTAACACGATCCTCTTGCACCTTGCACCTGACACCTGACAGTCCAAGGTACCTTCCCCAAGTGTACCCCGTGTACGTACCCATCCTCGAGACAGGAGGCGGGAGTCCTAGGTTCCTGCTGTGTTTCTGTACCTATCTACACAACCCACCTGGAAAACTAATCGTAGTGCAGGTACCTACCTAGGTAGCTGCAACCACACCACCAACCACCACCCCCACCACCGACTTTAAGACAGGAATCCTCCTCCCCCCTCTTTCCCATAAGCACAGGACAGTGCGCCGCCAAAGAAAAGGACTGAGATATCATTCCCTCCACCTCCGTCCCTCCCGTCTCAAGCTCGAGGCGGCAGTGAAGCTACAACACCACACCTCCACCACTTCGTCCCTCCTCGTCCGCCCGTGAGGTCAGGCTAGGTACTCTAGCACAAACCAACGGTGTACATCTTGCTGTAACCACCTCACACACCACCACCACCACCACCACCACCACCACCACACACACCACCACCACACATACCACCGCCTCCACCCCTCCCCCCGGCTACCCTTCAAACACTTGGTCTACCCTTGCCTCGACGTTTAGACCTTTCCATCAACTTACATCTATTTGGACCCTGGTGGCCGCTTCTTTCATCACTTCTCTTCCGTCCTCTTCCAAGCCTTCATAGGAGGTTTCCGACCCTTTGGGCCAGACCACGATACTCCCGACACCACTCATCTGCATCGTTCAATACAGTCACACGGCATCAACGATCGATTACGACGTACGACGGGTAAAAAAACGGCACCGTCAACCACCACCCCGCCGCCTTTTCGTTGCAACCGTGTGTCCGTTGCTTCCCACAACAAGGAATTCCCGACTTCCGAGCTACGAGACCCGGCACGACCAGCCATCGTCGGGTTCCCTTTCTGCCAATACGCAGTTGCAAAGTCCACCACCTCTGCCATTCCATCACTGCCAGCCCACCACTGCCGGTTCACGACACGGCGACACGGCAACACGGCAACACGGCTTCTTCTACGAATCCGCACAGCATACCACAGCACCAGGTAGGCCATCTCCACATATTCCCTTCAGCTGCCACCTCCTCACCTCAGCCCATCCCGCGCCCGCGGACGCCATCGACGCCTTCTGACTGCGCTTTGGGTCCACTGACCGCTTACGAGTCACACCCCTAAAGCCATCCAAGCCATAGAACCCTTTCCGTCTTGTCTTGCACCCCCTTTCAATTAAAACGTAGCTGTGCTTGCTGCCTTGGCTGGGCCTCAACGGAGAAGAGTCTCGGGGCTGACACTAGATGATTTACTTGTAGGCCGCTCATCTCCCTGCCACATCCTGCTCCCTGAGGTCGTCGTCCCCCTTTTTCCATTGTGCTCGTCTTTGTTCGTTCCCTCCGCCATATCCCACCGCCTCTGCCGCGTCCGTTCCAACTGTCGCCGCGTTGACCAAGCTCCTGTTCGTCGCCGTAGCGATCGATCCATCGCCAGGCACATCTTCACCGACCTCGACAACCTGCGCTATTAAATTGGATTGCAGAGAACGGGATTTACAGCATCCGAGCTGCACTGCAACCCTCACCGGCATCTGTAGCCACTCCGCCTGACTAGCTGCTAGTGGAGTAAGAAGCAGAGCTGTCCCGGCTTATACCTTGCAAATACGCGTATTCCGCAGCTCACCACGCGTATTCCGCAGCCCACCACGCCATACTCCTACATACGACGTTGTATACCGGTTCAGAGAACGCGAAGAGCCCACCCAAAACCGTCACGTTTCCTTTACCTCGGCATTGTTGTTGGACAAGGCCACTGCTCTTTTTTTTTTAATCACGCCTATGCCTTCATCACGGCCAATCTCTAACCCCAGATAATCACCATGTTTCTCCATTCGGGCGCCAGCCTGCATGGCCACGAGTATTCCAACAAGCCGGCCAGCAATGCCCCTCAACCTGCACGTAGACGGAGCCTCCTGCGATCCTCGCTAGGCGCCTCGCCACTCCCGCGGACTTCGTTTTCTGCAGACGATGCCGAAATCACAACCCAGCGTATCAACCGTCGTCTGTCATACCAGGGGCCTGCATCCCCTTCCCGTCCAAGTGTGCGCAGGAACCGGCCCGTTTCTGATCTCTCACCGCGAAAAGACCTTGTCGTGCGCTTCGAGGAAGAGCCGACTGTGGTGCGAAAAGAGACAAACGTGCTCGACGGCGTCAGCGAGGACGAGTGCAGCCTGGTGTCGGGAGTAAGCGATACGAGCACCGTCATCGGGTCCAAGAGATCAAGAAGAGCCGCGAGGCAAACCACAAATTACCTTTTGGCGTACCCGCCGCCCAAGCTTCGGACAAAGCAGCGCCGATTCGTTCAGATTCGTCCGCGCCTACTGCTTCAGTTGCAGCAACTATCCAACGACAAGCGGCCAATGCCAGCCATCGACGTCCTTCCCTCAAGCATGATTGCCGGCACCGTCATCCTGCCTCGCCTGGCGCGACAATTCCCCAAGATGTTCGGGGTCAAGGGACAATTGGGCATGAATGGCCTCATCCTGACCAGGAGCGAGGATTACGACACCCCCGCCGACGACTCCGACAGCGACGACAAGGACCTGGATAAGAGGGATTTGGTGGCTGTCATCTCACCAGTAGAGCGCAGAGAAGGCGAAAGGAGGGATTCGTCGGATCAGACAGAAATCGTGCTGGCAGATGGATCTGTGTGGACGGCCACTCAAACGAGCAACGGATCGTACGACTTCGTACACGTTGACGAGGCGGGTCGGACGACGACGGCGCGATGGGCTAGACGCAATGCTAGACCGCTATCAACGGCTACCTGCGCGGCCGTCTCGACACCTGCGCCGGCCTCGGAATATAAGTTCACGTTCAGCATCCTCGATCCCGAGCTTCGGCGGCATCCCGTCATGGCGACTCTGACCCCAGCCAACCTCGAGATCCTCGACAACTACACAACTGTATCGCAGTCATCGGCTCGCTACCCTCCTACGAGACCATTGAGCACAGACCTCTGTGGCGATAACGAACCTTCGCCCCCTCCATCTCCAGCTCTCTCAACGACGAAGCGCGAAACGCACCCGGTCGACGAAGCCACTAGAACCTTGATCACAGCTAGCTCGGTTTGGGTATCTCTCCGCCACGGCCAAGGCTGGGCCGCGGTACCACCTCCGGCGGCTTCGGCTAACCCACGTCCAATGCACTCACGCACTGTCAGCAGCAACAGCCTATGCCAGACTCGGGCCTCAACCTTTCCGGTGACGTCAACGGAGATGAGGCACATCACGTCTCCGCCTCTGGCGCAACAGCAGGTCATGGCCCAGCTGGCGCCAGTCATGCCTAAGAGAACATTCTCGTCAGGCGCGGCTTTCATGCAGCGACGCCAGAGCAAACTCGGGAGCGAGTCGGTCACGGCCGACCAAGCCATCGAGACATGTGACATGGGAGGGCTCGAGAAAGTAATAGAGCCCGTGCCGATCAAGAGGAGTCTTACAAGGAGAATCCGCGATTGGGGCCATCGGCTCACGGTGCGGAAGATGGCAACCGCATAAGGAGATGATGAGTGGAAGACGAGAACGTTGTTGTAAAGAAACACGAAAGCATTGCATGAGGAAACAGGCGCATGAACGGGCAGAAACAGGACCGGCCCAGGGCGGGCAAACACCCAGCAGACCATTTGTTTGTAGCTGTATCATTATCCATCAGCATAGGTATACCCCAAGAGATTCTAGAATTTGATACCATCCAAAGCACATGTTTTGAAGAACGTCGTGTCCGCAAAGGCGAATTGACACTGTAGTAGCTTTTAGCGTAGGTGATGTATGATAAGCGCCATGCTTCCTTGCCTGAACCTCGAGGCAGCGACGGACGGTTTAAACAACCCAGGGGCAGGATGTTTATGGTGTACCGTAATAAGATGCCGGATGTTTGTAATCGCAGACAGCGCAGTGTAATGCGTCGCATCGGTACCTGGAGGCTGAGCAGGCGGGGGCTGCTCCTTTCTGCCCGAGACAAATGGAGCCCGTTCGAGGAAGGAGGGGGTGATCGATCTGATCAGAGCTCAGAGTTCAGAGTGAGTGCAGAGTTCAGAGCGTGTGGTTGATCCTGGTGGGCGATCCTGACGACGTGCTGCGCACCGCCACACGCGATCGGCGGGAGCCCCGCCCCGAAACATGGTCCGTGTGGGTCCCGTTTCTTTTCCGTTTCTGCCCCCGCAATGTGTGTGTGTGTGTGTGAGTGTCAATGAACCACCAACCGGTCTCCCTTGTTTCCGGAGTCCGGGACCAGATGCAATGCCTGGGTGTTTGCTGGTCGCCGTGTTTGACGCCGTGTGTTTCTGGGTCCGAATGCCGGTGTGGGGGGAAGGGGGGGGGGGGGGGGGGAGCAATTATTGAAGAATCACCGGCAGCACCTGGTACGCTCAGCATCTATTATGACGACTTCGTCCCTCCAAGGGCAGACGCGGCACGAACTATAGTCATGGACCATAGCAGTCTTCCACACGAACCTACGGTCGATCGAACTTTTCGTCTGGAACGAGGCCAGCAATGTTGCTTGGGCAACGCGTTCACTAGCTAATTGGCAAACCCCCTAACAGCATAGCTCGGCGGTCTTGATCCTGTTCTCTCCGTGGCTCTGTGCCGTGGAGGGAGGGTGGCACATCCGATAAGCGACGAGACATTTGGTAAGGAGAAGCAAGTCCAAGTCATTCGTCGCGCAGAACGGGGGACGAGCCGGTATGTCGGAGAAGAGAGTGAATCACCGAGTGTTGTCACGGGAGCCGTGATTGGGCTGCTCGTGCTGCAAGTCTTGGTACTGAGTCACGGCGTTTGTTTCCCGCCAGAAGGAGCCAAGTCTCTCTCGTTATATGGGTGCACTGGTTCCACTCTTTCTTTCCCGTGGCAGGTCTCTCTACCAGGACACGCACGCAGGTTTGAAAAAGACACTTATTTCTTTTCTTTTTTTCTTAGCGGGAATCGAATTCTGCATTAGACATCGGAGAGACGAAGGATGCGCGAGTGCACACTTGGGTGTGTAACGATCATCTTCCCTGGACGCCAGGAACGGCGACCCCATGGCCGGGGAGAGGACGACTTCAGAGCTGTGCGAAGAGTCCGGGCTCTGGACCCCTCTGGCCGCCCCGGAGTGCGGCGGCAGCGTGTCCCAGGGCACCTCTTCCACCACGCACCTACTGGGCGCGGTTCGTCGCTGGAATGGAGACAGGCAACACGCGGCAGTGGTCCTGGGGCTTACCAGCGAGAGCCGGCGTTTCCCGACCATGGCCGGCATGGGGGTTTCGTTCGGGGACATCCGCAGCTGCTGGCTGTCAACCGGGGTCGACCGTTGGAAACCATGTTTGTTGATCCCTCGAGAAGTTTCACGATCGGGTACGATGGAAGACGGCAATTCGGGGTTTAGCCGGTGAAGAAATCAAAACAACATGGAAAGTCCGAGTTCCCAGAAGAACGGCCATCATGCATGATGCGAGTAACAGCTCTCCCGAATACTGTTTTCTACCTATGTGATGACGAAACGACGGAACCGTCAATGTCGTTATTGTTATTGATGTTGTTGTTGTTGTTGTTGCTGCCTGTATTGGTCTATGACCCGGGGGTATCTACTTTTTGCCAAAATAATTCATCAACGTATTGGCCTGCGCCGGCTTCTGCGCCTTCCTCGGCGACGCCCCCTCAGTCTTCTTCCCGACCTCCAGCGCGGCCATCAGCTCCTCGAACTCGGCCCTGGGCACGATGCCCCCGCTCGCCTCCTTGTGCCCCCGCGCGAACGAGCCGCCCAGCCGGACCCTCAGCGTCGGGTCCCCCGAGCGGCCGGCGGCGTCCTCCAGCACCGCGATGATGTTCACCGGCGGGTCTCGCGCCCTCGCGCACCGGGGCACGCGGCACGAGAAGTTGACCAGGCCGGGCAGGTACCCCTCGTTCGCGACCAGGACGACCTCGAGCCTGGCCGAGGCGAGGTGGCCGGCCCAGCGCGTCGCGATGACGGGGTGGACCTGGGCCCGGGAGCTGATGCGGAAGACGGCGACGCGGCCGTCGGCGGAGAACTTGGGGGCCGCGTGCGTGCAGCGCTCCACCTCGGCGTTGACCTCGGCCCTGGAAGCGAGTAGGGACGTGTCGGCCAGGAGCTCCTGCGGGGACGTTGACGCGCGGAGGGCTTCCCAGGCCGAGCGGACGTTGTACGACGCCGTCCGCCGCGGCGCGTTGATCAACGAGACGGCGTCGTTGAGGGCCTTTTTGGTATATCTTTTGAACGTTGTCCTCATGTCCGGGAAGGGGGGCTCCCACTTCAGGGTGTTCCCCAGGTCGCCGTGCGTCCCCATCACGCAGAGCCAGTCGCAGGCCCCTTCGACTCCGTCGTGGAGGTCGCGGCAGATGAGGTACGTCAGCAGCGAGCTCGTCGCCACGGGGGGCGAGTCGCACGCCGTGACGTGCAAGGCGCCCTCGGGGTGGTCGCCCTCGAGAGCGTGGTGGTGGTCGATGACGATGCCACGATGCGGCCCGTCAACGAGCGGCGGGGACGGCCGGGAGCCCTGGTCCAGGATGAAGATGTAGGCCGGCTCGCGGGCGGCCATTTCCGAGCGGCAGGATTCGTCGTGGACGTTTTTCCCTTTTGGCGGGAGGTAGGCGGTGATGAGCGCCGGGTCCAGGCCGAGCAGGACAAGGGTGCGTTCGAGGATCGCGCCGGAGGCGAGCCCGTCGGCGTCCTTGTCGGGCACGATGAGAGTCGGCTTGCCGGCGGACACGCTGGAGGGAATTAGAATGAGAGGGGGTTCACGGGTCATCTACGAGCTCTCTGAGTTGGGGGACATTGGCATGTCAAAGTCGCCGCGACGATGCATTTTCTCATCACGCGGCCGGTGCGACGTACCACTCGCGGATGAAGGCCCTGGCTGCCTCCATCTTGTCGTCTGGCGCAGGCCACACGATGCCGCCATCTTCGCCTCTCACCGATGGCGTCAAGTGATACTCTGGAATCGCAGGCTTCAGCTTCTTGGTGCTTTGCTTCCCGTTCGTTAGGTTCGCGGTTGCTGCGCTTCGTTTCATGGCGACGGGAAGGCCTGGCGTGTATCGGAAGAGAGTGGGTGCAGATGTAATACTGATACTGGGCACGCGGATGCAAGATCTTGCCCTGGACACCGATTTCCATGCGGGTAGGCTCATGACTAGATGGTAGTCAGACGTTTACGGCCTCCGTGACCGAACTTCAGAGATTAGGTCCCCGGGTTCATGTAGTCGTTGCGCCGCGTTGCGCATGTCGTCATAGACATCTTGGTGTGGCTGGAGCTGGAGTTTCGTCTGCGGACAGTGTGTATTATGACAGAATCCAATGAAACACACTGTATATACCTGAGTTCATGAGGGCTTTCGTACGTCCTTAAAAAAAGAAGAAGAAAGAGAGTTAATCATGAAGAGCATCATACTGTATTCGTCATACTCGAGTCTTTATACTATATAAAGACATAGAGATCTGCAATCTTGTAAAGTTAACTGTAGGAGAAAAGTTTGTTTCTAGCAGCAGACTGTAAAGTATTATTTCTTGTGAACCCCACTGGAAGTAAGCGCAATTATTAAATAAGTTTTCTTGCCGTATGTTGTATCTTCACTAATACAGACTCCATTGATTCCGACAAACCAACAAGACCCTTTGTCTTCGTGATTCCAAATTATGTAGTCGTTGACTCCGCAGGCTTCCACAACCGGAATATGGACAGTTCTCTATCTGCCATTTCGTTGTCGTCCGGGGTTGTCATTGTCGAAAGAATGACACGCCCGACACCCTCAGTCCCAAGCGAGGCATTGTAAATGATTCCGAAAGGCGAAGCGGAGAGCATTACTGTATATTCAACGGACGAGAATATCTTTGGAACCAATCGCATCAGCCTCAGCCCTTCCATCAAGGGCTGCCAGCGGTACTGGAGTTCTTCTGGCATGTACAACCCTCGATCTGGCTTCTTTGGTATAGTCCTGTCCAACTCAGAGGGCAAAGAGGGTGGAAATCGGTTGCCGGTGTCTAGAATATCTTGAAGATTCATAAGCTGGACGATCGCGGAATTGTAGATCAGAAGCTCCGTCGCCTGTTCGGCCGTATTGAGCATCAAAGGTTGAGAAAGCAAATCTCGAACCCAACTTATGGTAATACCGTCGTCTTCCAAAGGCATGAAGACCTCCGATACACTGTTCTGGTTGGATCTTTCCCAAACCCGTCTCCAGTCGTGTAACTTAGAGATCATCTTGAGTATTACGGCACAAGCTGCAGCCTTTTTTTCTGGCGAAAGGGGCTCGGCTGGGTGCGCTATTGAAACTGTCAACCCGGGAACGTCGACAAATATATCCATCAAAAGATCATAAGATGTCTTCGGGTGATACAGCCATGGTACTGTTTTCCAGCGTTCCTGATCAAAGAAAGATCCTTCGTAGTGGTTGTAGCATTTACATGCCTATGCCAACATCCATTCAATGTCAGCAGAAATTAACTTCCCAATGTATTTCAGCATCTGGATCGAAGTTTGTGATAAAGTCTTACATGTATAGCCCTCATATGGCGCAGACTTGTCAGCATAGGCTCTTGCTGGAAACATTCCGGCCCGCACCACTCAATGATCCTTGTCATCCCGTAATAGTGAGGAATATTGACTTCCTGCTCAACTGCATACTACGTGATATTAGCATTATTGACAGCCACACTTGTTCCGAAATAACAAGGGCAGCCAGCCCCGTCTGCAAGCAACTCACTTGGTAGATGCTCAATATGATGATTGTGATGGCCCATTGGGCCAGATGTTTCTTTGATGCAGCGGACAAGGCCGATTGTAAGGCTCGTATCACTTGGCCGTTGAGTTCATAGCCCTCGGCCAGCATCTGTGGCTCTTTGACTCTACTGCCCATGAAACTAAGCGCCGTCGCCAAGGTTCCGGTGTAATCAGCCTTGACGACGTCAGGCGGTGCCGGCCCATTCAAGGACATCCGCAGCACAGGTTTCCAGAAGGGACCCCATCGGTAGTTGGCAATGAGATGAGAGAACGCCATTTGCTCACGGAAAGCTATCAACGGCAACTCTTGGGTCACGGTTGGCGGCGGAAGTGTAACTTTCGTTGTATCAGAAATGCGAATCAGCTGTTGGGCCCCGCTAGCCTCTGTCACAGTGGTGAAATGTTGCATTCGAAGAGGTAGCTCGTAGCCCAAACACTTGTGACCCGACCTTAGGCATCTTTCGCACTTGGGACGAAGCTTGTCTATGAAAGGGGAATCCTTGTCAGTATATCATCGGTATGCTTGAAATATGGCCCAGATTTCGCTAGGTGGGATTCTCGTGACTGGGTAACCCACCACACTTTACCCGCCTGCGTCGGCAAGTCTGGCAATAGCCACTGGAGGGGGTTCGGCCCATCGCGATGGCTTCTGAGGTCAATGTTGCAAGGTCGATGTTCAGGAAACGGCACGGCTTGGCGTGTCGACGAAGGACCTAGATATAAGCGAATTCGCATCTCGAGGCCCCGATTAAATATCCCGTGAAGTTTCTCTGATAAACGATAAAGAGACTTGTACATTTCAGGATGCTGCAATCACCGAGCAACTAGTGTATATACGGATGCGACATTCACTGATAGTTCTGTCGTGGGACGGGAGTTGCTGCCAGGAAGATTAGGAAGAGATAAGATTACCAAGCTCGGATTATCCCCTGTCGTGATTTTATTCGTAAGCAACTCGCGCGCGCGCGAGTTGCTTGGCTTGGACTGATGAGATGATTGCATGGTTTAGTCAGCTTTCCCCCTACACACTGCCTGCGTGTTTCTCATTCGCCCCTTGGTAGCACATGATGGTGAAATGTCATCAATTTAGACACTGTATAAGATTCTTGACTTATAGGTCATCATGTCGTCATGCATCGGACATTATGCTTGTTTTGTGGTTATCCGACTGCATCAGAGTATCATTGTTTACTTATGCAACCTTAGGATTGACCGCCTTGGATAGCTCGTCTGGAATGGAGGCTTTCAAGCCTTCACTGGTTTCCTCTCAACAAGCAGACAGACCACCATTGTCAATGACTTAGAGTGATTGTGTTGATGGAAAGCGTATGATAACACAAATGATCCAAAGAAATTCATCGCAATATCCTGGTAGTCTTTCCGTTTCATTAGCCCGGCTGCGCCGCAAGTTGCATCAGGCACTTGTCTCCTTTAGGGGCTGACGTGGCTCTATCGGACCGCGTAATCAAGGCACCTGTTCAGCTGTAAGATAGCAACTGCGTCTTTTTACTCTCTTTCATTCACCAAATACTTGAATCACAGCTTCATGGACCTCAAACAGCTTCTTGTCAACTGAACTGACCAAGCTGCTGAATCAGTTTTTGATCTCCTATTGTTTCTCGGCTTTGCGAACCTCTGGTCAACTTAGAACTCTTGAGCGCTCCCCAAACAGCTGTTCCTTCGCAATTCCGTGATACCAGCTGGTGCATTAAGATGGAAGTCTCAGTAACGCGAGTGAAAGCTATCAAACTAGCGCCGATGATTCATTACTCCGAGGTCAAGTGCCAGGACGACGATTGGAGCGGCTTGCATAATAGAACCGAAAGACGCAGGAGACAGAACCGTCTCAACGTCCGGGCGCATAGTACAGGACACCCAACTGGTTCTTGAACCCCCAGAGACACACAAAACTGATGCTTCTCAAAGGAAAACGCAAGGCACTCGAAGCTTGTCAAAAGCAGGAGGATTCGGCACTCACCATGGCCGAATCATCGCGTGGGCTGTTGAAGTTCGACGATGGCTCAGGCTCCGGCCTGCAGATTTTGCACTGGGCCCCCCCGAAAGCACCGGAAAACCGCGCAATAAAGACACAAAGTAAACACAGTTCTATCAACGCGTCATATCATAAAAGCGAGCAATCAACAAGAACGCAAAGCGCAGTGGATGGAGGCGCAGTTCCATTGTCACGCCCGCCAAATCGACAAGCCCTACGGCCCCCCCAAATCAACAAGTCGGAACCAACGAAGCGCGTTCCTTCTTACTTCCAGAACCCAAACTTGTGGTTCCCTCTTTATCGAGATCACCTGATTCCCCTCATCTACTACAATGTGTTTCGGGCAACCCTTACCAACATCCATATCCTCTCTCTGACATCACTTCTTACAAGCTCCTGCACATCCAAGCAACATGAAGTCATTCTATTTCCGTCTCCTTCAACCATTCCGCCGACGTTACTACCCACAAAGTTGCAGAGGGTGACTCCCCATGAGTCCTGGATCGATATCCTCCCTTCGGGTGCCATGCGTGACAATGCTATCAAGTTTCGGGCAGACTACGACCAGCATGACTTGTGTAGCGATCTTGTCGGTTGCGAAGGAGAAAATACGTGTCTTGACCAGCCCGGTATTATCGTATGGTCGGATCCTTGGCATCCGGATGGATGGGAGGTTACTGAGAAATTTGTCAAAAAATGGGGCTTCTTGCTCAAGGGTTGCGAGGATATGGTAGGTGCGACAAATCGCTGGCGAGCTCTGAGAGATGAAGACCCTTTGGTATGGGAACTGGAGTGAGTTGGAGTCTCGTCATAGTTCAAGAGGTTGCCGTGAAGATGCACAGTAGCGAAGCCTTTAGATTGTGATATTTGGCCAGGGTATAAGAACAGATGTCTAGTTTCGTTCTGATCAGTACACAAGTAATTGCCGCTTTTGTTAGTTTGCCAGGCACATTCGTACATGCTATAATCTATGATAGCAATGCTATCTCGTCGTTTGGTCTTCCAGCAGTACAATACCGAAAGTTGAAGCATAAAGCACGCCTACGCTGTAGGTGATCAATACGGCAAAGAGAGAGAGAGAGAGAGAGAGAGAGCTGCGAGAGAGAGAGAGCTGCGAGAAAATTTCTCCCGTTGTAGGAAGAGCTGTTGGTGATTGATATTCCCGATGCAGTAAGTGTGAGAGACCTGATAGGTTCATTTAGCCAACTGAAAGATCCGTTAACTGGATGCGTCCTTAGTTACTATGGACTTAATGGGAATTATATTGGTAACTCCGTCAAAGTTGCCATGTGTGATAGAATTAACGCCGTGTGCAATGGCCAACAGTAGATAATGACGTACATACTGTGACGCTGAGCTGCAATATCCGACCAAAGCGGCGCCACCTTACAGAACTGTCGTATTGCAAATCCTTCAACATGTGCTACAGCCAATCGCTACCAAAACCAAGGTGGATTTGCAGATGGAAACAGGCATATGAACCAGAAATAAAAAGGGTGCTGAAGCCCACGGTTTTAAGAAAAATGGACCCGAATACGTGAGCAATACTATCAGCGACTTGAGTGCTGACGTGTGTAGTGAAGGGCAGTCAGGACTTGACGTCTGTTACCACTTCGGCAGGCTTATACTACTTGTATATATAGCTCTTAGGCCTTGATGGATTCTCTCCAACACGTCCGACAATATTGATACGGACGGTTCCAATGGTTAACCCTGCTTGCGGAACAGTGTTTCTAAACTGAAAGATAATTTCAGAAAACCCAAATTGATGGGCGTGTGAAGCCGTTGGCAGCATACAAGAAATCGTCAAGTATCCAGCGGCAAGCGCCTGTATTCCAAGCTAACACTCACGTTCCAGTACGTTGTGAGAGCTGTATCTTCCCAATATGGCCAGCCTCTGACCTGAACTTATGATATATGTGTGATCGATATTTGAGGAGTTCTCAGAGACGATAGCTGCTGATCCACGCGTTGATTCTCAGGAGCCTTATCATCGCCGAGTCATGGGCGCACCTTTTCGATCATCGATTTGTAGAGCCATGAAAAGATGCGCTGAGAAGAGCCGGAAGAGATTGACTGACGCGAGAGAAACAGGAACCCTCGGCCTGATGGTAGCAGCCGGACCACCTTAGTCGACGCACTCGAATCGAGTCGGATCGACGGTCAGATGACGAAGAGACCCACTTCGTCAGATTGGAAGCGCTCGCGCACATCGACCCGTTTTCCAAGACGATTTTGAATCTCGATGGTTTCCTTAAGGAAAACGTGAGCTCGGTCAAGGTTTTTGCTAAATTGACTCATCCCCTGGAACCGACTGAGCACCCAATCCCGATGCAGAAGGTCATCTGTCTCAAGGGCGACGATGAAAAGAGGCCATGCTATGCGCGCCATTGATTCGTCTCCCTCATGTTTGAAGGCCTGGAAGGCGAGGTTCATGATCTCCCTCAAAGCGCTTCTTTGGCGATCTGAAAGCATGGGAATATCGTTGAAGCGCGTCAGACGCATGAACTCGAGGACTACGGCATGATAGTGAGGAACAATGCCGCGAATGTTGGCTACCAGGCGATGCGAATTGTCCGTACCAATGGAAAGCTCTGCTGCGACCTCGAGTAGCTCAGTGAATTTACAGCCTACTTGCTGGATGGCCATGTCTACAGCCATGATGCGCTGCTGTTGTGATGCATCATCACCTTCGCAGGAAAGGTTCGCAAGCTGGGCGATCATGAAACGTAACTGACCGCAAGCACCAAAGAGTGCATATACGTTACGATTCTCAACATCGTCAAGCAGCTCTTCTTGGGGATATGCGTCAGCCCACATGCTCCGATACAGTGGGTTAGAGAAGCGGTGTAATCTCTCAAAGGCATCCATCGGCTGAAAGGGGCTAAAAGCATTGCTGGTCACAGGGCCTTCCAAAGCCCCCATGATCTTGTGCAGCGCGCAGTTCAGCTGGCCACCGAGGCCGTATGATGCAGCTGCTGCGTCGTGGAGGGAAATCCAGACGAGTATTCGTGCCGAGTAAAGTGAAAGACGTGAGCCACTCCCGTCGGGGTCCTTCCTTGTCAGGGCCATACCTTTCCGGTTGACCTCGGGCGATGGAGCCGGCAGTTGGAGTAGCATGTCTTTGAAACGATGTTGCAGTATCAAGCTGGCACCCACGAGATGGTTAGAAAGACCCTGGCACTTGCCGTCGCCGTACTTCTGCTCATACAGCAGCATAAGATACAGAGCCGTACAAACTGCATCGAGGTCCAGCTGCTCATTGTCCTCGCAACCGATGGTATCAGCCATCATGCGGAGTGCCAAGGAGTAATGCTGGATAGGGGTTCTTGGACCTCGGGCCTCTTCCGCATCTTTGTTCCGCCGGAATTCCAACTCGCGTCCGCCAAGGGCCAATACCACGCGCATGACCATGGAGTCAGTTTGAGCAACGTCAAACATGATGGAGTATAACGAAAAATCCGGATTCTTTGTGTGATTAAGCTTGGCGAATGAGGTACGAAAGTATCGAATCGCTTCGTGATCAGCCGACGAAAGATCAAGAGAGCAAGCCCCAACAGATGGTGCCGAGGGGCTGAAAAGCGATAAGGCCTTGGACTGATCGAGTCGAGACGCAGTCTGCGCCCAGATCGGCAACCCCCCTTCTCCAGCCGACGAGGCAGACGAGACGGCAAACTGGGACAACAAAAGTTGATCCTTGCGTGTTTTGTCCCTCTTGGTAAACTTGATGCGGGGTGCATAATCGCAAAGGAGCCGCAGCCGTGAGCAACGATGACAGTTGGGTCTCTGCTCGTCACACTTCACCTTTTTGGTGCGGCAAGTCCAACAACCGTTCCTCGACCGCGGCCCGCTCCGGCCTTCGCCCGTGCGTGATGCCGCAGCGGCAATGTGAGGGCGCTGGCCATCTCCAAGATTGCCGTCGGCACCAGCTTGGGCTAAAAATGAGCATGTGCTTCCGGGACAATCTCCGTCGGCTTCCGGTGAGGAAGTACCCATTGGTAATTTTCTGCCAGCTCAACCACCGTCGGCTTTTAGGCAGGCAGTACTCCGTAGGCTGTATCGGGAACGATAAAGTGGAGGCCAAGAGATAGTACTGCAGCAAACAGTTGTCTGGTTCTAGAGCGAGACACGCCCTGAGCGGGTTTCGTAGACGATATGACCAGTACAAGGAGGCAGATGCTGACTCGTGACTTGCCAAATAGCCGACGAGCAGCAAGAATCAACACAACGACGCCGAAGATTGATAATGTAGAATTGATGAGTGATTAATCGCACCATGCCATGGATGGCTGGACTGGTAGCGATGGCCTGGCGTGCACCGGCGATCTGTTTGTCGAGGCGAAATGTTAAAAGAATTTTGCCGACTGTCGGCTATTATTTCTCCGCATCTCCAAGTCAAGCAGCCCTTTTTGCTAGTCGGCAAGATCCAAGCACCGGTTGCCGATGTGCAGGTGGCAGATCCCTGCCCAATTGCTGGGACTTTACTGGAAGCCCCTGTTTAGATACAAAAGACGTTTCCTCTCGCTTTCAAATATAAGGCTGCCCAGGTGGTCCAAAAGTAGTTCGTATTTACCCGGGGGTGTTAGTCAGCCTTCGTCAAAGCTAAACACCCCCTCCTCACAGAGGGGGCAAAAAAAGGGGGGTTACAGTAAGAAAAGGGGGGTTACACCTAGTCCCTGCCCTGTCCTACTTTTTATTATATTTTTACTAAAAATAAGTAATTATTTAGATATATTATTAATAGATATTAATAGTAACTAAACTATTTACTTTACTTTAACCCTTTAATATACTTTACTAATATAATAAGAATATAACTACTACTAAAAAGGCTACTAAAGTAATATTTACTGCCTAGTAATAGGCTAGCTAATTTAACTAGCCTAGCAAGGAGCTATCTACTGTACCTTTTATCTACTAACTTACCTAGTAGTATAATATATCTAATACTTCTATTTACTAGTATCTCTAGGCTCTTTAGGCTAGCTATAACCTTTACACTAGCCTAGATAAAGGTAGCTAGCCCTAGTTACTTACAGAGGCTAAAGATATAGCTCTTAGTGTATTTATTATATAGCTCTATAAGTCTAGCTTTTTAGCCTTACTATTATAGGTTAAAGAAATAGCTAACTACCTCTGTAGTATCTAAGGCTAGCTACCTGTCTCTAAGCACTTTATTTAGAGCTAGCTTACTAACTATCTAGAGCTCTAGAAGAAGAGCACTATTAAGCTAGTTAAGTTATACTAGAAGAGGGCTAAGTTAGACCTAGCTTTAGTAAAGGACTTCTTTACTTAGTACTAGGCTGCCCTTTATAACTATAATATTAGCCTATTTAAGATATAGAACACTAATAAATCTAGCTACTAGATTAGTTACCTTAGTAGCTAGCTTTATATAATTATCCTTAAGTAGCTACTAAAATATAACTACCTACCTAAAGTTATAGATCTAGCTAATTAAGAGTTATATATATTAGTTAAGTATAGTAATATAACTAGTAATACTATCCTAGTATATATAATCTTTAAAATATAGCTAGTTACTACTTAGGTAGATTATTAGGTCTAAGAAGGTGTTTACTTTATATATTTACTAACTAGCTTCTCTAACTAAGAGGTTATAATAAATTATATATAGTACTTTAATATAGAGTTATATATAAAGTTAATAAAGTATTACTAGATAAGCTACTTCTTTAGGGACTATTTTAGTATTAATATATATAGTTATAATACTTATAATTTATATTTACTTAATAGTTAACTAAGTAGATAAAAGGTAAAGTATTATAACTATTAAGATACTATAGAAAAGTTAAAGTAGCTATATTACCTTCTCTTTCTTAATAGATTTATAGGCTATATAAGTCTAAAGCTTATAGAATATTATATTAACTTTAATATTATTATTACTTTTTTTTTACCTTATATAATATATTTCCTTTAGCTAATAGATATAGAAGTTTTTTAATACTTTAAGAAGGCCTATTAATAGGTGCTCTATAACTATATATAGAAAGGTAACCTTATATTTATAAGAGGTAACTTTATTACTACCCTAAATACTATAGTTAAAGAGGCCTTTATAGCTGCCTATATTATAAAGGGCTTTAAGAAGGTAAATATATAGCCTATATATAATAATATTATACTAGCCTAGCTAATAAAGAGAATATAATAAAGTAACAAGAATATACTATTACACCTTATATATTTTTTACTATATAATAACTACTTTAATAAGGCTATCTTTATTACTAACTATATAGAGAAGAAATATAGTAGTATATAAAGTAGTCCTTTAAGAAGGGGATTTAAAGTAGTAAAATAAGTAATTTATAAGGGATCTTTTACTTATAAGTACTAGTAGTAATATATTAAGGACTAAAATACTAGACTAGTAATATAGTAATAGAAAAGCTAGTGCTAATAAGCTATTAAACTATAATACTCCTTTATAACTAGTGTTACTATTATAAATATAAAGAAAGTATATAATAAGTAAGTTATAGAGGCTATATAAGTAAATATATAGTACTAATAAGCAGTAGTAAAAAGGATAGCCTATAAGCAAGAAAAAGAGGTCTAGTAGTAATATAGTACTTTAAAGTATTAATAAGTAAATAAATAGATAAAGTAACTAACCTTTAAACAGTAGCTTATTTATACTAAAGAAGATTAACTATATATTTTATTTAACCCTTTAGATCTATAGTAGTATAACTTAAATAATACTATATATAAAGAAAAATTTATAATAGATCTTAATTTAACCCTTCTACTACAGTATATACTTAACTACTTTAAGTATACAGTAAGACCTCTTAGTTAGGGTAATATTAACTAAGCATTAGCTAATGCAGCTATAAAGGCAGTAGGGCTATACTTTAACCCTAAGATCTTTATAGATATTAATAACCCTATTAACAAGGACATTAATTTAGTTATATTAAGTAAAAAATTAGTTAGTATACCTAGGAGTAATAATAATAATAATAGTTATATATTATTATTATTACTACTAATAACACTAATAGCTAGTCTTTTAATATTATAAGGTCCTTTATAATATAAGTTATAATATTATACTCTAAAAGATAAAATAGATAGTTAGAGGGTAATAGGGGTTATACTATAAAATATCCTATATATACCCTTATTAATATAAAAAAAGGAGCAGTAATATATAGTAGATAATAATAAAAGTAATACCTATATTACAGTAGTAATATAAATTTATAGTTATTATAAGAAAAGAGAAAAAAAGGTACTACTATAAAGCCCTTAATTAGGGCTATTAATTAGTACTACTTTTGTTATTATATAACGTTGTAGTAGTTATTGCTTTAAGAAATAAAAAGTTAACTATACTATATAACGCATATAAAAGTAAGGGTATTCGTGATGTAGGTGTAACCCCCCTTTTCTCACTATAACCCCCCTTTTTTTGCCCCCTCCGTGAGGAGGGGGTATTTAGCTCACAGCGCTGACTAAGTTGCCCCCGGGTATAACTCTGCCACGTTTTGTCTCTCCTTGTGCAGTTTATCGGGATATTCACCATCTTGCCATGTCCATCATTCAGGTCCCAGACGTCGCCTCGACAGACAAGCCAGGCGATAAACAGGGGCCTAGATCGCTACAGGAAACTTTCGACATCGAAACGGCCCGTGACATTATCAACTCGGAACTTGATGAGCTGAACTCGTCACTGCACAATGAGATCAACAAAGTGCTCCATGCCAACCCAGAAACTGCCTACAAAGAATTCTTTGCTCATGACACCATTGCGAGTTACCTTGAAAAGCATGGCTTTACCGTCAAGAGACACACATATGGCCTCGAAACCAGCTTCGAGGCCGAAATCGGCTCTGGCGGCCGCCAAGTTGTCGTATGTGCCGAGTATGACGCGCTCCCCGAAATTGGACACGCGTGTGGCCACAATCTTATCGCAACATCCTCAATTGCTGCATTCCTGGGAGCTGCTCGTGTTCTGAAAACTCTCAAAATCCCTGGAAGACTGCGTATACTGGGTACCCCGGCAGAAGAAGGCGGCGGCGGAAAAGCAAAGCTCATTGACGCCGGCGCGTTTAGTCCACCTGAGGATATTGCGGCCGCCATCATGGCCCATCCAACCGCAGCTCATCAGGGTGGCAGTGGCGACGGATCCTCGGGTTTGGCCGGATTCAAGCTTATTGCGAGCCACAAGTTCAAGGTCGAGTTCCGCGGGAGGCCAGCCCACGCAGCTGGTGAGCCTTGGAAAGGCTTGAATGCACTGGATGCAGCAGTAGCAGCTTACAATAACGTTGCTCTCTTGAGGCAGCAGATCCAATCTGACGAGAGGATTCATGGTGTTATTGAGATTGGAGGCACCGTCCCGAACGTCATCACGGATTATACCCGTATGAACTGGAACGTCCGCAGCCCAACCATTGACCGCGCAGACGCCCTTCTGAAAAGAGTCAAGGCATGTCTGGAGGCAGGTGCAGCGGCGACTGGCTGCGATATCAACTATATTGTGTGAGTGTCTGCGGATCCAGTATCTCAATCTCGATTCAACTGACGATACCCACTAGGTCGCCCACGTATATGAATTTGCGCGCTAATGACACACTTTGCAAAACTTACGTCGAGGATATGGCAGCTATTGGAGAGACAATTCAGACTCATCAGAATAAACCTTTCAATGCCTCAACCGACATGGGCAATGTTTCTCACCTCGTGCCTAGTTTCCACGGCGCGTTTGTTATTCCAACATCACCAGACGTAGCAGGCCATAATCCCAAATTTGCAGCGGCAGCAGCGACAGACGAGGCACACACTGCAGCCATCAAATGCGCCAGGGGAATGGCTATGCTCGCCGTCAGAGTGCTTACCAATGGTGTCATTGCTCAAGAGGCGAGAAAGGACTTCGCAACCCCTGATAAGGAATGAGTGTCGGAATTGGTCCGTTTGCAATACGATGTTCAACAGTGGGCACGGTGCATATGTAGGGCTTGATAGTCAGTCTACATGAATCAGACAGAGAGCTCAGGTCGAATTGGCAAAGCTGTATTAGTCCGTGGCCCGAAGACTTTGATCATCTGTCAAGGCAGATGACCGTCAAATCCGGCTGCAATGAGACGCTGGTTGGCCTCCCATACTGCTTCGGGAATCTCCTGTTCGATTTGGAAGCCCTTCTTCGGGTATTCTCGAATTCTTATCAAGTCTCCAACCATGATATTGACGACCAGTTCCTTCGGGTTCTCCGTGTCTGGGTATTGTTCAAATTCCAGCTTTGGGCTTGTTACTGTAAAATCCGTAGCCGTATCGGGCCATTGCTTCAGAAAAGTAGCATAAGTCCGTCTTTCCATATACGGCTTCTGTACAAGCACAAAGCTCTTCACATTCAACCCTCGGTGTTTTAGAAGGGCGTGTGTGAAACGGACATTTTCGCCCGTGTTGCCAGATCGCGGCTCCACAATGATCTTGTCGTCTGGCACACCCAATTGCCTCGCAATGCCCGCGAAGACCTCAGCTTCAGGCTCGGTAAATCGACCCGCTGTTAACTTGCCGACTCCACCAGAGTAGATGAGGTACTCCCCGTACCCATCAAAAAACAGCTGTGCGGCACGGACCGCGACACGTTTGTCGAGACTACACAGACAGAATATGGCTGTTGCGGGACTGAGAGGCATCCCCATACGATGGTAATTATATATTGTCTTGGCGTCAATATCGATCTGTGAAGTTGGTTGCATCATGATGAGATTGCAATCAGGAACGCTGTAAATAAATAAGATTGACAGTGATCCAAATGGGTTGATTGCTGACGGGAGGGGAAGTGAAGACGGAAATATTTCGTTGAGGGGATATTATCTTTGAGCTTTACGCGTTTAGTCAGCAATATACCGAGGCAGGAGACGCTAGTGGACCAAAACATGCCAACATGCGGTACAGGTGACTGGCTCCGACGTGGGTCTAAATGTCCAGAGGGGGGTATCTACATTAGGGTTAGGGTTGTTACAGTAAGAGTAGAAAAATCAACAAGTCTAAGCCTTTTATAGTTATAGAAGGTAAGCACTATATTTCTGGGTTCTTACACCAGCTGCACCCGAGCTAGGCCTCATTAGGCCTTCTTTGCCTTGCATAATTCCCCTAAACTTTCTGGGCCCACAACGGACACCCCAGGGTCGGATGAACCAATGATGGATGATGTTCATAGTACAATTACAGGTTCGAGATGCAACGTGACAATCAATTCGCCCCTCCCCACCCTATTCTAGTCTCCCATAATCCTACGCGTACATATTCTGTGTCCCTACTCAAATTTATCCCCTCTTGCCAAACCACGTCTTCTCAACAGTCGCAAGCCGAGACGGCTCACACTTAATCATTTGTTACGTGACAATCTCTTGTGTGCGTGCTGAGCAATCATTATAAATTTCATCATGGTCCCGAACACCGAGGAAAATGTTCCTCTAGATGATTTTATCTCCAACGGAAACCGGGACATGCCGACACTCTCTGATGGTCCCAGTAACAACTTTGAGCCCATCATTTCACCCCGGGCCGCAGTGCTTCTTGCGCAAGACCTTTCTCTTCGCCCAGCGCCAACCTCATTTACATCATCACATGGACCATCGCCACTCATCAGTATGCCAGCTGCCACCAATCGAACCCCGCTACAACGTCCAGAGGGGCAGGAGCACTGGGAGGCAAAGAAAGAGACAATCCGTGCTCTGTATTTGGACGATGGCATGCCACTCAAGGACCTTATGCATATAATGTCAACAAAACACTCCTTCTCGGCCACGTAAGACCCTTCAACATACTCTGAGGCTGTGATATAAACATTAGTTAATGATAGTAAAACAAAAAGTGAAAGAATGTATAAGCGACAGTTTTTGAAATGGAACTGGAGAAAGTATAATACGAAAGGCCGTCAGCAGAGTCAAGTTGGTACTGAACATCGGGGAGCTCGTTACGAAAAGCCTACTCGCAGACGACAAGCAGAGCGGAGCATGATCAACCTGGCAAATCAGGCGCAGAATCCTATCGAGCGCGGTCATATGTACCGCCGAGATGCGGATGTTTCGACCCCATTACTATTCAGCAACCGAAATCATCGACAAATGGAGGAGCTCCATTTCAGCCTCCGGGACCTCATCTATGGGAGCGCGCAACAGTCCTCTGCCTGGAAGGGGTGTTCCAAGTTCGAACTGCTTGGGGCGCAGAACGATGGACTGGTTCTCCAATTCGAATTGGCTTTTGAATTCCTAAAGGAGAAAGAACTTCATAAATTTGGCGCTGCTCTCCGTCGAGCCTTTCACACTGCCGAAGTGTTTCTTGAGAAGGAAGGTTGTGAGATTCTCCAACCAGCAATTTTGGACGTTCCCTTCGATCTTCTCTCCAAAGGGGAGATTAACGAGCTGCAGATATTTCTGTACCACGTCTTCCGTATGCTAACCGCCAAAAAGCCCGGAGAGCCTATTCAAAGGATGGCCAAGGCTATGTATGCAATACTACTCGACTCTCCAGATCTATTTGCACACTCCTTGAGGCAACTATATGGGATCACTGCACACTATTTCAGTGAAACCCGTGGCCTGGATGACCTGGCTAGTTTAAACGCAAGAACAGATCTAATCCAGATAAAGAAGCGCGACAAAACCTTGCATCCAAAAGAGGCTGGAGATATTCTCAGAGACTACAGAAATCTCCTACACAAAGCAAGCACATTCTTTGGACAGGACTCACAAGAAACCATTGAAGCTGAGGCTCATTACCTATGGACAGCGTTTTGTGCAGATTGTTGGGACAACTATGAGAACATATGTAAAGGCCGTATACATCGCATACGAGCGGAGAACGAAGCAAATTGGGACACTTGGGATTATCAAGACCTCGATAACCTCGCTCGATGTACATGGTACTTGTCTTCATTTTATGAAAAAGTCGGCGACGTCAGTTCGCGCATCCAATGTTTGGCAGAACGTCTCCAGATTCTTGGCCATGTAAGCCGAAGGGATGGAAACACGAGGGGCAGCGAAGCACGGGTAACGGAGTGCAGAATAGAACTTGCAAAGGTGCTGAAGGAAGCTGGTCAAGTCGAAGAGGCCCTTGAGTTAAAATTGGATATTGTACGATCAGGGTACTTTGAGGAAGTCACGGACGATCCTGAGTGTAATGATCAGTCCTAAGATCTAGGGGTAGCTTGATGATTACAGTCTTACTTCATGACTGAAAGAGCAACTCCATTAATAACGGAAACTGCAATCCTCCTTCGAGGCAATACTTTCCTTTCTGACACGACCCCTACTGTACCAAGGAGTAGACAAACACGCCGCCTTTTAAAGGGCATCACAGTTGTAGTATATACACTTAACATAGCTGACTGCAGAAAGGACGAACTATAGTATAGGTCACGTAATAACAAGGAAGGACTAACAAGTAATAGTTACTCTAGGTAAAGGACCAAATAGTTAAGAGCGCTCTAAAGTAAAGGACTGATAAACTACTGTCACTTTATCGCACACGAATAGAA